TGCACTCCAGTCTGGGTGACAGAGTGAGACTCCAACTCAAAAAAAAAAAAAAAAGGCAAAAAACCATTTCTAGAGAAGATACAGCTTTTGGGGGGTAGAGGAAGCCCAAATGGCCCATATCAGACAGCTTTGGCCATCCTGACCTCAAAGTAAGGGGCCTCCTTGTTCTAAGGTAGGGAACAGGGCATCAGAAGCTGGCCACCAAATAGCAATTTCTGACATGCAAGAATACAGAGGACAATCCAAGACCCCCAGTGAAGACAACCCCCTTGCTCTGGACTCTGCCTGAGGAGAGGCAAGAGACCTCACATTCTTTGATGGAGCCAAGTATGGAAAATGCTGCCCCGCAGCCTGACTTGGTGATGTGAGGTGCTGCTGCTCGTTGGCCCCTAGAGTCCCAGAACTCTCTGCCCCAGTTGAGGAGACTTCTTCCCACCCAGAGCAGTCAGGTGATAGAGCACTGGCAACAGCAGTGATGGTAGCAACACCAAGAGGTCGGAGTCCCTCCAAGCCCAAACCTCCCCAGACAGGATCGTGAATGACTCACATTTTGAAAGGGAGGCAGCTTTCTTCCCTCCAAAACCCTGAATATGACCATGGCAATCAGAGGGTGCAGGGAGGCATGATTCTGCACGATCATCAGTGGATCACACCCTCAGCTGAGAACTCTGAGGCAGCCCCCCAAGGTGCCAATTTGAAATAATTTAAAAAGCAAAGCAACTTGTGACATAAAAGGAGCATTAATTCTAAACAAAAAAGTAGAAAGAATCAAAACAAGAGAAGGAATTAGTTTTGCAACATACACATAACCAATCACGTCAGCGAAGGGTTGTTTGTAGAAAGCTTCATCTGCCACCCTAGACAGCAAGAGGTCCAAAAGGCAGGCAAGCAGGCAGGAAAAAAGAGAGAATATTGAGAAGCAGAAACATCTCAAATCCACAGTAGAGGCTCGACCATGCTCTGGAGAGCTGTTCCCAAGGCTCCATCCTGACCCCGGGGGCTTCCAGAGGCTTCAGCAGGCCAGGGTTTCTTTCTGGCCTTCTGGCATGGGGGATCCCCCCAATGAGTGCTTCACCCCTTGTGCTTACCCCAGCAACAATGAGCATTTGTTAAGCACCCAATACCGGGCCAAGCCCTTTCACACAATTCTGTTGATCTGACTCTGCGGTAACAGCCTACGACACTGAGAGTTCTCACCCCACTTCACAGATGAGTACCCGAGGCTCAGAGACGAAATAACTTGCCCAGCTACATGGACTACGTGGCAGCGTTCAGAATTCATACCCAAGGCAGCATGGCTTTAGGTCCAGAGTTCTTTGCACTCTGTGAATGCTCCCCCGCAGCTGGTGTATACACCTGAAGCCATGCCACCTTCCTGGCTGTCTTAGCAAATATCACCAGGCGGGAACACTACCAGACACCAGATGCACTGGGACCCAAAGCTAGTTTATCTTGGATTATCCAACTACTGCTTCCCCACACTGGCTGGGTGGGAGGAATTTTCAGTATCCTGGGAACATACATGGTCATTTCAAATTCCCCACCTTACAGGAGAAAAGCAGTTGGGGTCAAGTGGTCTAGTGGGAAGAACTAGACTGGAGCCCTGGCCCCTGGGTGTCTCTGAATAAGGCTGTCTGCTCAAGATGCTGGTGCAGCTCCTGAATATTTCTTCACCAGACTTGACTGGCTTTGCCAAGGTGCAGCCAGAACCCAGAACTTCATCCCTTCCTAAATCTCAGAGGAGGAAGCGATCAGCACAGCAGGGCTCAGGGTGGGTGGGGTGGTGGTGGTGGTGGTGGTAACCGTGTGGAGAAATTTACATAGCAGGGGACAGGCTGGTGCTGACTCTGTTGCCCCAGACGGAATCCCTGGGCCCAGCCAGCCCACCCCTGTCCCCTGTGGCTGGGCAGAGAACCTCCCTCCAGGAGCCTTACCCTGTCCTTTGCTGGGTTGGTTTGGGGTGGTTGAGTGGAAGGACACTTTTCAAGGATAAGCATGCCTGGTCATTAACCCAAGCTCACATGTTTACTTGAAGGCAAATTCTAGTAATTTTAATTTCAATTTATTTTTAAACTTACACATGCCCTTCCTTCTAACCTATTTTGGTTTATACACAAGATGTGTTTTGTGGGAATTTAAAGAAAGCAAAAAGAGCAGGCTGACTATAACTCCAAGTGACTCAGCAGGAAAACAAGAGAGTTGTTTGTGGACAGAATGAGTGGGAGGGCAGGGAAGGCGGGCCAGCTTGTAAACCCATAATCCTTTTAGTTTACACAAAGGCTAAACCTAATAGATTTCAACTGGGGCTTGCCTGTACTAGAAGGGAATAGAGGTTTAATGACTCCTGTCAAGGCATCACTAAGACAACAAAGGCCTGAAAGGCAACTTTTGCTCCTCTGTAGCAAGCAGCCCAGAGCTCCTCAGTGGCAAGCACAGTCCCTGTCAAGGCCGTGGGCCCAGAACACAAGAAGTACACACAGCAAACACAGGCCCTCCACCTGCTTGTTCTTTCCCCTGTGGAAGGAGCACCCGAAAGGAGCAATCCTCAGTCAAGGTACAAAGGGGCTCAGGGAGGCTTGGTGGAGGGGAAGGGAGAAGCTGCCTGACTACAAAACAAGCTACAGAGGCCTAAACACAGCGCAGAACTTCATTCCAGAGGCAGCCTCAAAGTACACATGAAAAATGTTTGCCACCACTGAGAATCATGGGTTCCCCAAACTTTTTTAAACGTCGAAAGAGCTGAAATGGCTCAGCCTGTAATCCCACGCCTTTGGGAGGCTGAGGTGAGTGGATTGCCTGAGCCCGCAGGTTTGATACCCGCCTGGGCAACTTGGTGAGCCCTCATCTCTACAATAAATAAAAAATTAGCTGGGCATGGTAGCGCACGCCTGTAGTTCCAGCTACTTGGAAGGCTGAGGCGGAAGGATCACTGGAGCCCAGCAGGTAGAGGCTGCAGCAGGTAGAGGAGCAGCCACTGCACTCCAGTCTGGGCGACAGAGTGAGACTCCAACTCAAAAAAATAAATAAATAAATAAAAATAAAAAAACAATTTATCTGCTGGGCTCGGTGGCTCAGCCTGTAATCCCACACCTTTGGGAGGCTGAGGTGAGTGGATTGCCTGAGCCCGTGGGTTTGAGACCCGCCTGGGCAACTTGGCGAGACCTCATCTCTACAATAAATCAAAAACTAGCCGGGCATGGTAGCGCGCGCCTGTAGCTCCAGCTACTTGGAAGGCTGAGGCAGAAGGATCGCCAGAGCCCAGCAGGTCGAGGCTGCGGTGTCCAGGAGCGGCCACTGCACTCCAGTCCGGGCAACAGAGTGAGACTCCAAAAAAAAAAGAAAGAGCTGAAAAGGCTCAGCACAAAAACTACCTGTGCAGGGGAAATGTTCTAAGGCCGTTTTGATGAGTAATTCATCCAACTGAGGGGTCATTCACGATGCCAGTCAACTCCTATGAAAAGGGAATTCTTTTCCACAGGCTGTCACTTAGTAACTCACAGCTCTTGAGTAGTGATGTATAGGCTCTGACTTGGGATACAAGGCAGGAGATGAGCTCTGGAGTCTGACAACAGACTACAGATTCTGCGGAGCAGAGACCATGTCTGCCTGCTGCATGCCTACCCCCAGCATAGTGCCTGGCACGGATATGCTCCTGATGCCTGGGTGACTGACTGGTGAGGGCAGCTGGAGGGCAGGAGGCCTGAGGATAAACTCACAATTAACTGGATGCCCTTTCTGTCCCCAAGTCTCCTCTTTCAAACTTCTGTCTTTCTGCCTTATCTCTGGGGTGCCCTTAGCAAGCAGCTGTTACAGAAATCCCTCAGGAAAAGTGTCACTTGCTTGAAATGAGCTCCCCATTTTCTTTTCTAGAAATATTCACTATTTATCTATAGACAGACAATGAAGATGAATCACTCTACATATATAAATGGGACCTATTTCCTTTTTCCTTTTTTTACATCAGGGCCTCACTCGGTTGCTCAGGCTGGAGTATGGTGGCACAATCATGGCTCCACACAGCCTCAACCTCCTGGGATTACAGGTGGGCACCACTACGCCTGGCTAATTTTTTTAATGTTTTATAGAGACGGGGTCTCGCTATGTTGCCCAGGCTGGTCTCGAACTCCTGGGTTCAAGCAGTTTTCTCACCTTGGCCTCTCCCAAAGCTGCTAGGATTACAGGTGTGAGCAACCTTGCCAGGTCAGGACCTATTCCTTTAGATGCTAAAGCTCAGAGTCAAACATGGATGGGGAGAGGGAGTAGTTAGCAACATAAAAATCTCCAGGGGAGGGTGTCTGCCATTGGAAGCAGTCCTCCACAGTGATTCTCAAATGGCTCTCACCTCCACCCACTGAAGAATCATTGGACTGAATTGCAAAATCCACCCCTTCTGTCCTAGTGACTAGTGTGCCACTAGCTATAGGCATTCAGGGTCAGTCCTGTGCTGCAAGGTTCCCACAATGCAGGTGACCTGCTTTCTAAACAGCTTTGTGGTCACGCTGAGTGGTGGGTAAGGCCTTCTCCTCTCTGGAACTTGAAAGGTTCATCTGTGAGACTAGCCAACCCAACATTCTGCAGTTCCAAGTAAAGAAAGGTACAAAGTCCTAACTCAATGCCTGGAGGGACACAACCTTTAGGACTGAGTTCCTAAAAGCAGGTGTGATTACTTTCTCCAAGGACAACTGATGCTGTATACAGAGAGGTATCAAAATGTTTGCAACAGAAAGCCTATTACCAACATATTCGAGTTTGAAAAGACCTGAACAAGGAGGGCCATGTGGTTCTGCCAAGTACTTTGGAGCACATGAGAGTGTGAGGCAGCTTCCTGGGGAGTATCCCAGGGCCTCGGACGGTGCCTGCACACAGCTCCTTTCTTTACTGATTTGAACTTGCAGCTGGAGGAACAGCATCTTGGGCGAACACATGACACAGGACCCTGGACCTGTCTGCACTTTATATTGACCACAAGCTCAACAGAAGCCCCATGTCGCTGACGGCAGCCACCAGCACTGGCAGCGCAACACACAGGCCAGACAGCAACCCCCATCATACTTGCCCCAGAACTTCAAAGGAAATCGGACAGGCACTCCTCGAGAGTGCATCCCCACAGGAAGTCGATCGGGACGGAGGCTCAAGCCTGGCATCGGAGGGGCAGCTGACAGAACCAAGGATAGTGAAAGGCAGACAAGGTATGGAAAGACTGCTGCATGAAAGAAAGAGTCCCACCCTTCTACCACGGTCGCCGCACAACAGCATCAGCTGGCTGGCAGAGCACTTAGCGTTCCCTTTCCCTGCAGCTGTCTGTCTCTTAGAGCTAAGGCTCTACCCTGAAAAGGAAAAAAGGCCCCAGGCTTAGTCTGGCCTGTTTTTACACTAAAGTGAGTGGAGTGACTATTGAGTGGAAGTTAGGCTCTGAACACTGCAGAGGAAAAAAAAGCCACTCTGCCTATCCTGAGAGGAGCAACACTGCGTATGCACGCTGCTTCCAGGAAGCACTCCAAGTACAGAGCACTCAAGACCACAGCGGCTGGCTGGTAGGGACACAGGAATGAAAGTGTTTTCTCCCCAGAAGTCCTTAACCTTCAGTAAGTAGTAAAATATATTATGAAAAGAACATTTTTAAAAAGTCAATTCAAGATTTTCTTAGGCACAGATAAACACCCAGGGAACCCCTAATTCTCAAGTCACTATGTTGGAACTTCCTTGGCTGCATAATTACAAAGCACATTTTCCTGCTAATAGATCCTTCCTGAAGTGGCTTTCAGAGGGAAGGGCTGTATTTAAGGAATATAATGTGACCAAGTCTATTATCATCTCCAAAGTGACTAGATCCTGGTATATTCATGAAACTGACCTTTCATTTTAGGGTTCCATTTTTTACACCTGGACTTAATCCAGGAAGTAACTTTTCCTTTGGTAGCATCACACCGTTACAGCTGAAGCATATTAACAAAACTCTTAGTTAAAACGATAAACTCACTACAATTAGGATGGCTAAACACCACAGTGAATTATGCTCATAAGACCCAAGAGACCTGCAACCTCTGTGTTTCAAGCACTTTCTTAAAAAACTTTTTCTTAAAAAAGATACTTCCCACTAAAGAAGGCAGCAGTCAAGAACCCAGACTGGATGCTGAAAAATGAATCTGATTCAGTTTTGGAAAACAAGCTGTGCTAGACCCGCTGTGGACTGACCTGTTGTTTGCTTTTGTTTTCTGTAGCTGCTCGTCCTGTCTTGCATACCACTCTTCTAGCTCCTTTATTGCTTTTTCTTTCCACTCTGCCTCTTGCTTCCGAGAATTGGCATCTTGGAGGGAAGGAAAAGAAAGACAATACAAATGAGGCAAAGCACACATTTCAGTTTGTCTCATCAGCCAGTTTGGTCTTACAAAGGGTACAGAAAGAAGTGGGGAGGGGAAGATAAAATTTTATTTTCCAACTGTTTGTACAACAAATTCTTGATCTCAGCAATACTACTCCTGGTTCACTTTTGTGGGTTCCTAGTCTTGCTTTGTCTTGTTTTTGGCAGAGGAAGAGGGGGTGTGGAAATACTTTTATTAGAAAACAGCCTTCTAGGTATCAACCAGGGAAAAACAATTCTAGATGATTCTTTAATAAAGCTGCCAACATTAGTTCAGGGAAGAGTATTTATGTTCGATAATCTTTTAACTTCTCACCAACTATAGTCCATATCCCAGGTTTGACAATTAATGGTTTTGTAAAACACAAGGTGGCACTCTTGTAACTAAACTGTGATAGAAGCACTTCTAGGAAGCAGGGAACTATTAGGAAAACTACCAGAGGCAGATATGATTCAGGAGCCAGAGAAGGGTAGAATACAGATTATTGTTGGAGAGAACCACAAATCATTTATTCCTACTTAGACTGCAGAGTGAGTTTGTGGCAGGACAAAGAAACTCCAATGGAGAGAACTGCAGGGGCTAGAGGTGTGAGATCATTATTAGCAATTAACCAAAGGTTCTAGAAATGAGAGCAAGAAACTGCACACCTAGCAGGTTTGCCAGATTGGATTCTCAAACATAAAGTCTCTAAGGAATAAATATGGTTTTCCCTAAGACACTGAGCCAAAAAGACATATGTCAGCAGACAGTGAAAGCTAAGAAAATACAAGTCATAGCAATTGGTGCAGTTGACACTTGAAGTTAAACCTGATATTTCACTTAAGGACATTTCTGGCAGGCAGACGTCTCATTTACTCTTTACAACAATCCCAAGGCAAACTCTGATCCCATTTTCAGTAGTGAGAAAAACTAAAGCTCAGAAAGTCTGAGTGAACTTCCTAGATTACAGGAAGTGGCAGAGCCAAGATTCAAACCAAAGCTTACGCTTTCCTTACCTCATTGTGCTGCCACCAAAGGGAGGGACAGAAAGAGAGGTAAACCTAGAAACAATCACAAGATGTGACCAGAAAGCGGCCATCAGTGATCTGGACAGAGTTTTGGAAGTGTAGACCAAGAGCTCACCCTGCAATTAGTGTCTTTGAGAAGGAGAGTAGAAAGCAGTGGTAGGACAAATAACTACTTGAAGGGATGGAATGAAGCATTCTTGGGCATTTTTAGGGCCTTTTCAAGAAATGTCGACCTGCAGAATGCTGTACCTGTTACAAGAAATAGCCTAACAGCAGCTAGACATTCCCAAAATTTCACGTTGTAAAGAACGTTCACCTTCTTAACTAACTTGTCAGAAGGTGACCTATCATTGGGGAAGAGAATCATTTTACTCAGATTTTCCACTGATGGTTCTAATTTCCATACAGTGAACTTCTGATAAGCATCCATCCACAGTATTAAGTGTCTGTATGGAATGGAGGCTGCCATGAGAGATGAGGTGGACAGCTGGGGTCATGTCAATTCCTAATTTAAAACTGAAGGTCTCGGCCGGGCGTGGTGGCTCAGCCTGCAATCCTAGCACTTTGGGAGGCCGAGGCAAGAGGACTGCTTGAGCCTGAGGGTTCGAGACCAGTCTGGCAACTTGGTGAGACCTCGTCTCTACAATAAATCACAAAAACTAGTCAGGTGTGTTGGCATACGCCTGTAGTTCCAGCTACTTGGAAGAATGAGGTGAAAGGACTGCCTAAGCCTAGCAGGTGGAGGCTGTGGTGGCCATGAGCGTGCCACTGCACTCCAGCCTGGGCAACAAGAGTGAGACTCCAACAAACAAACAAAACTGAAGGTCTCCTTTTCAATAGTGGTGAAATTACTTTCAAATAATTACCTTCTGATTGGACAGTATTTTCTTTCAATGTGTCCTAATGACCATTTAAATTTTTTATTATATATTAAAATCAAAATATGAAAATGTATCACTGAAAAAGTAACTTAAATAAAAACTGTGACCAGTTGTACAGACTGTAGTTTTACTGCATAAAACAGTACATTTTAACTGTCTTCGGCTCTTACAGATTTAGGAAGTGCCACTGGCAATAAGAATTTAGAATTCTTCTCTAAAAAAGATAAAGGGGAAGAGTCCCCTCAGAGAGTAAGACACACTAACAAGTACCTTCTTCTCTGGCCACCCTCATTATTTTTCACAGAAAAGAAAATTGTTTGCAAATGTAGCCAGCAGCCAAGCTGAAAACCACTAACACTGGTTCTTTATTTTTAGCATCTTGTGCTTTCTCACAGTTTCTGCAAGAAAAAAAGTGAAACTGAAGGGAACACCTGGTTCATGAATCAAGTGATTGCAAGGCCAATGTTTGACTTCCCTCAAGAAGGCATCTTGAGTGAAGAAAGCAACAGCTCATGGAGTAGTCCCGAAGTACCCAATTTGATAACTGAAAAAGAAGACGAAAGCTTTCCAGACACCAAAGTGTATTCTCTCTACAAGACAAACACTGCTAAACCTTGAGGAAAGAGAAAAGACAGGCAGCTTCTTTCGTCCATGCCAGCTCTGGCATGTCTCCCTTTCTTTTCTCCCTTCATTATAATAAACTACTTTAAAACTATTTAAAGAGAGAAAAGATAAAGTTGGGTCTTGTAACATGAAAAATATACTGTTAGTACTAACTTCCAGAGTCTTGCTTCCAAGACTACTCAAAAGAGACACACAAAGAACAAGCAAGGACCAAGGCTGCTAGCACCAAGAGGGCATATTTCACCTTCCTAAAGCTACACCATCCAGTACAGTTGCTACTAGCTATATGTAGCTACTTGAATTTAAATATATTAAACTTAAATAAAATTTAAAATTGAGTTTCTCAGTCACACTAGCCACATTTCAAGTACTTAACAGTCACACGTGGCTAGTGACTACCACACTGGATAGCACAGATACAGAATATTTCCACCAAAGAAATTACTACTGGATAGTGCTATAAAGGGTCATAAATGTGCTCCTCGAGCTGGGTGAGGTGGCTCACGCCTGAATCCCAGCACTTTGAGAGAAGGAGGCGAGAGGATCGCCTGATTCCAGGGGTTCCAGACCAGCCTGTGCAACTGGGCGAGACTTAGTCTCTACAATAATTACAAAAAAAAAATTTAGCCAGGCATAGTTCTAGCTATTTGGAAGGCTGAGGCGGAAGGACCATCTGAGCCCAGCAAGTTGAGGCTGCAGTGGCTGTGAGTGTGCCACTGCATTCTAGCCTGGGTGACAGAGTGAGACTCTGACTCAAAAAATAAGGAACTGTGTTTTCACTCATTCAATTGTTCTCAAGACGGAATAATACTGTTGACATTGTGGTTACAATGTGGAAATAGTGAAGAATGTCTCATCTAGGAGATGCACAATGAAATATTTAGACATAAAATATGTTATGCCTGTATTTTAAAGTAGATCAGCCAAAAAATGTATACATACATACGCATACATGCTTCATTTATACAAAAATAACCCAATATGGTGGAATATTAATTACTGAATATAAGGGTACACATATTTATTTTCTTCTTCTTTCGACTGATCTAGAAAGTTAAAAAAGAACACAGCATGTTCTCCATACCTCTCCAATCCACCGTGAACAGGTGATATTCCATGTACAAATCTCTTTACCAAAGGCCAGAATGCCTGGCTAGACAGTCGTGCACACCAAATGCACTTAAAAAGCAAGGTGGTTGATGGGGACCAGGCTTTGAAGAAAGCCAGACTTAAGCTGAAATTCTGCTTCTACCACTTCTTAGCTGTGTGTAACTATTCAAATAGTTATTCTACCTATGGTCTCCACTTTCCTCACGCATGAAATTGTAAAATTTACCTTATAGGGATAACAGGGTAAAAATAACAAATTGTACAAGTTTTCTAACATGACTCACATTTACCTTATTTATTCACTTATTTAGAGAGACAGTGTCTCGCTATGTTGCCCAGGCTGGTCTTGAACTCCTGGGCTAAAAGCAATCCTACTGCCTCAGCTTCCCAAAGTGCTGGGATTATAGGCATGAACCACTGCACTCGGCCTTGTGTTACCTTAAGTTCAGCCATCAAATGAAAAATGGACTATAAGGTTGGGTCTTGAATCCAGTCTTTCTCTCCAAGTCCAGGGCTCTTTCCACAGCATCACTCTGCTCATCTTGAGAGGAGAGAATGCAGGTAGTGGCTCTCTGGGCTACCTCACTTCTCACATGAAGGCCTGTGATTAGGCATCTCCACATAGGTGGTCTTGAAACATTCAGGCTGAGAAAGGTATTGTCCCAAAGACCAGATAAGCACACTGGCTGATTCAAGCTAAAAAGGGATCAAAGTAGTGTCTAGGTCAGCTACTCCACTCCATTGAACAGAAACCTCCAAAGACAGAAAGGGACTCCTTACCAAGGGCTTCCAAGCGTTCCGTTTGCTCTTCTCTCCACTTACGGATACTTTCTGGCTCTGACTGCAATCGATCCACTTGGGAAATAGCTGCATAACTGTCTGTCGGACCATTACTTTCCTGAACACAAAACACAAGTGTGTGCTATAAGTACCAAAAATTCCTTCCTGAAATATGCTTCATTCAAGTTAGAGGCCCTGTTTCTCACAACACTGGTGGCTGTTGTAAAATGTTAAAGGATTACTTTAAAAGTAACAACACAAACTTACATGTTGATAGGGAGCTTTCAACATTGCTGCACTTAATCCTTACAATCCCATGAGGGAGACAGAGTAGTTATTACCCTACCTGTTAATAAATGGTACATGAATGGGAGACAGGAAAGTGAGGGGGAGGGGGCAAGTGGCTTATAAGGAAACAGTTTCCTCACTCAACACAGTGATATCTTCAAAGTAATAAAGGTAAATACACAGCAAAGCAAGGCCTAAAACCTAAGACCTCTAAATGCTATTATACTATGCAGAAAAAAGGTCATTTAATATGGCCTAATCAAAATATAGTGAATTCGCCAGGAATGGTGGCTCACATTTGTAATCCCAGCACTTTGAAAGGTGAAGGCCAGAGGATTGCCTGAGTTCAGGGGTTCAAGACCAGCCTGGGAAACTTGTCAAGACATCCTCTCTACAATAAATTTTTTTTAAAAAATGTTGCACATGGTGGTGCATGCATGTAGTTCCATCTACTTGGAAGGCTGAGGCAAAAGGGTCACCTGAGCCCAGCCAAGTCAAGGCTACAATGGCCGTGAGCATGGTACTGCACTCTAGCATGGGAGTCAGAGTGAGACTCCAACTCAAAAAAAACAAAAAAAAGCATACACACACACACACACACACACACACACACACATATACACTAAAACAGGAAGGCCAAAAGAAAAAGTACAGTTACTATAGTCATACCAGGGAAAGATAAAAAAGCAGGTAAATACAAGTCACAAGGAAATCTTTCTTTTCTTTTTTTTTTTTTTTCTGAGTCAGAGTCTCACTCTGTCACCCAGGCTGGAGGGCAGTGGCATGCTCCTGGCCAGTTGGGCTCCGGTGATCCCTCCGCCTCAGCCTTTCAAGTAGCCAGAACTACAGGCACGCACTACCACATCCAGCTAATTTTTTATTTATTGTAGAGATGAGGTCTCGCCAAGTTGCCCAGGTGGGTCTCAAACCCACAGGCTCAGGCAATCCAATCGCCTCGGACTCCCTAAGTGCTGGGAGATTACAGGTTGAGCCACTGAGCCCGGCAGAGGGTTTTCTTTGTGGTAGGTAGGATTTGGGAATTAATAAACAGATTGATAAAGACTCAAATGATAATCTTTTGGGAATTACTCCACCTGTTAAACCAGGGAACAGTACTAAGTTAACCTAATCAGACTGTTATAAACAAAGATGGAAGAATTTTTGGTTTAAAGTGTAACTGATGGCCGGGCTTGGTGGCTCAGCCTGTAATCCCAGCACTTTGGGAGGCCGAGGTG